TGAGGCTGAGGCATAGGCTGAGTCGTATGCTGAGTACTATCTTTCCTCTGAAGTGCCTTTTTCCGTGGTACCTTATCCTTTGCACCAGGCGGCCGCGCTTCTTAGCTGCAGGTGCAGCTGTAGGTGTAGCTGTAGGTGTAGCCGTAGGCGCTGCTGTATACGCTGCTGTATGCGCTGCTGTATACGCTGCTGTATACGCTGCTGTATGCGCTGCTGTATGCGCTGCTGTATGCGTTGCTATAGGTGCTGCCGTAGGTACTGCCATAGGTGCTGCCGTAGGTACTGCCATAGGTGCTGCCGTAGGTACTGCCATAGGTGCTGCCGTAGGTGCTGCCGTAGGTGCTGCCGTAGGTGCTGCCGTAGAGGTGCTGCTGTAGATGCAGCTGTAGGCCTAAGAAGGGCTGGATCAATACGAGAAAGATCAACCGGTGTAGCTGTCGACTGATAGGCATTCCGAGCGACAGGAACTGGACGAGGGACTACAGAAATAGGCGGTGCTGGCGGCGGAGATGTCGGCATGCGTCCTGGAGGTATGCTCGTATGTCCACTCTGTCTGGTTTACTACGGTATTTTGCTAGGCCGTAGCCCTGTGCTGATGCGTGCGCTTGTAGAGCAATATGCGCTTCCTCTGTTGTAGCGTAGTACGCCAGCCGTGGCGGCTGGAGGGCCATGGTGAGTGTGTTGTGGAGGGAGAGGAAGAGGATGTAATTGATTGTAACTAAGGCCGCCGCATTTGGAGAGAGCATTCGGAATTAATGAGCAAGTTAAGCGAGCGAATCGGAAGCTCCGGAGCAGTTCCCCAAGCCAATTAGAAGGCGGTGAAGCGCCAAGAGAGGGGGGGGTGTGTGGTTACTCGAAAAGGGGTGTGCGGCTACTCGAAAGGGGGTGTCAAATTACCCGCCCCCTTATTTTTTGTTCTAATAAAGAACTCTTTGTCCTAATAAAGGATTCTTTGTCCTAATAAAGGATTCTTTGTCCTAATAAAGGACTCTTTGTCCTAATAAAGGACTTGTTATATATAAAGAGGCTTTGTCTTATTAAAGAGATATTAACTCTTTATTACAACAAAGACTATATTCTAATAAAGAACGACTAAGGTATATTAAGACCGCTGCCTTGCTCCTTAAACTTAATCTTAACCAGTTTATATACTAATTAGTAATATACAATACTTATTTAAACCTTCACCATTTCACTACGTGCCTTATACCTTTACAGGTTATAAGCCCGGATAGCTCTAGCTAATTACAAGTCTAGAAACGCAACAAAGAACTATTACATCCGTTTTCAGACAAAACCAACGCAAACATTAATCTACCCCGCACGAACGTTAAAGAACAACAAAAACGTTAGTTTTCTTCAGACGGAACCAACGCAAACGTCAGATTACCCCGCTTGCACCCAATTATGGCTTCTTCCAATAAAAGCTACTATGTAGAGGCTAATTCCAACATTAGACGGAAATATAGATAACTTTCTGCACCGTTATTACCTAAAATTACTCCAGCAAGCCTAAATTATATTGGAAATCAAGATATTTCTTATTAAACCGAGCGTACATCCCATCACAAGGACAAAATTGACGGCCTTATACTAGAACTCAACAATAGTGAAATACAAATTAATACTATAATATCTGGATTGTTTCAATATACACCGGAAGGGAGGATTAAACTCTCTTATTATCTGAAAACAACAGAATATCCAGCTCTTCTACAATAAATTCACTTTTAGTGTTATTTTCCTTAAGGAATTACTTAATACACTAACTATGTACCGGAAATCTATTAAAAGAATTAACAAGAAAGAGCTCTCTCTATTAAGAATCCTTATCTCGCGCATCCTTTTCCTAGAAGTATTAAGGTTATATATAATAGTAGTATTAACCCAGAACGTGCTAGTATTAAGCTATACAAACGTTATAATAGGAAGACCCTGGAAGGAGCAGTTATTTATATTGGATTATACCCTTCTATACTTGTAATTCAGCCATTTTTTAAAGGTTACTACTAGTTAGTAGAAAATATAATAAGTCTTCTTACAACAAGTATATTATTACCAAAGGGAACGCAACGAGCTCAATTTATCTATCTACACAACAAGCTCAATTCTATCTATCTATCTATTTAAGATGACTGAGAAGATAACAATTAGAAAGCTTACTGGCCAAGCTAATTACAAAGTATAGGCTCTTAGAGTACAATCTCGATTAGTAGAAAAAGGGTGTTTGCACGTAATATTAGCTATATCTGCTGTTATAAAAGCGGATGCAGATTCTAAGGCATTAGCCACTATTAGGCTTACTATAGAAGATGGACCCTTATTACAAATCTAGTATTCTATAACAGCGTTAGAAGCATAGAATCCGCTTAATAACCTATATAGCCCTAAGGGCTTCAGCTCCGAGTTCCTTATTTATAAGGAACTATTTAATACTGTTTTATCTAAGTTCTCTTCTATAGAGGAATACCTTAATAAGGTTAAACAGTTAACAGATTAATTACGAGCTAAGGAAATACAACTACCTAATTAGGTAATAGTTGCTTAGGTTTTAAATAACCTTACAAGTCCTTATAAGGGCTTTATTACTACAGTAACACAGTTCTATAGAGAAGACTCTACTAGTATTAACTTAGAGAGTCTATTTTCTAATTTAATAGACGAATCTAGGCGCTAAGGCTCTAGAGATAAGGAACTAGCACTGTTTAATAAGAGACACCCAGGGAAATTCTATAAAAACAGTCCGCCGAAGCATAGTAAGGCTAATAAGCCTAACTACAATAAGACGAAAGTTAAAAAGAATAAGTATTATAAGAAGTGTAAAATAAACACTTACTATACAAAATATTGCTTTCATCTATTTCCTAATAAGGCTCCTAAGGGTTTTAGACATAGAAATAAGGACAATACGTCCTTATTAACAGTTTATAACCCTACTCCTATTTCTTCTAAACCTCCAGGTGCTAATAGTAGTAATTGGGACGACTTTAATATAGATACAGATGCGCCGGAGGAACAGGTATTTATAGCATCCTATACCCCTATAAAAGAAAACCAGGCTAATTTTATATTAGACTCTGGATCTACAAGCCACATAATTATAAATAGAACACTATTTAGTTCGTATAAGGCATAAGCTACAACGCTAAATTAGGGAGAAAATAAGACTACTATTTCTATAGGAATTGGAAATATAGACTTAGAGCTTAATAGGCATGTCTTTACGTTAGAAAACTGTTTATATATACCTTTGTTTAGCTATAATCTAATATCTATAAGCAAATTAGACTCTACGGGTTTATATATAACTTTTAAGGATAGAACTGCTACTATATATAAAAATAGTACAGTAGTAGCAACAGCCATATTGAAAAACTCTCTATACTATGTAAATATATATAATAGAAGTCTACTTGCTAGGCAAATAGATAAACTAACAAAAGGCAATTCGATAAATACATACATAGATAGAAATAGTCTATCTATTTAGCACCAACAAATGGGCTATATAAGCTCTAAGAAGCTTAGTATTCTATTAGGAGTACCTATAAAAGACCCTATACAATGCAAAGCTTGTATAAAAGCTAAAATAACTAAAAACAAGCGTAGTAAGGTAATAATAGCTAAACCTACTACTCTGTTATATAAAGTTATATCAAATCTTATAGGGCCTATAAACCCACCTAGTATAGGGGGTAATAAGTATGTTATATTCTTCTTAGACGCAGCGTGTAGATATTTAGACTATAAGCTATTAAAGAATAAAGCAGAAGCATATAATGCTTTTATAGAGTATAAGGCTACTGCCGAGAACTCTACTAAATGTAAGATAACGTACTTTAAGACAGATAATAGTAGAGAATATACTAGTAAGAGATTTAAACAATTGTTATCTACTTATAGTATTATTTATTAATTTTCTAGTCTATATACACCTGAACAAAACGGCCTAATAGAGCGTATTAATCTTACTATATTTAATATGGTACGTGCTCTTTTATATTATGCAGGACTACTATCTACTCTATAGGGAGAAGCTGTTAATGCAGCTGTATATATATACAATAGAACTCCCTATACTAGCTTAAATAGAAAAACTCCTTATAAGCTATATTACAATATTAAGCAAGAGAGTATATATAATACTAATATCAGGGTATTCGGCTCTACTGCATACTATAAGGTAAAAACGCACCTTAGAAAATTAGAACCTAGAGCAAAAGAAGCTATAGTACTAGGTTATAGTTCTAATAGCTATAGGCTATTAGATATAGAATCTAATAAGATATTTTAGGCAAGAGACGTAACTATTATAGAAGACTCTTTTAAGAAGTCTATAGAATCTATTAGTATGCTAAAAGAGGAGTATACTGTTAATATAGAGCCAATTAGAAGCTCTAATAGTATAGATACTTATAATAGCAATTTAGAAGATAAATTAGCGCTATCTAATAGCCTAAATATACAAAATTCGACAAGTATATATATATATAAAGGCAAGAACCTACTTCTATAAGTATATATATAGAAGATAATCTATCTAAAAACAAGTTAGCCTTAATTATTAATTTTAATAACAAACCAAATATATATAAGCAAGCAATAGCCTCTGCTAATAAGGATAAATAGCACGAAGTTATAGAAGCTGAAGTAAATCAGCTTAATAAGCAAAATATATAGAAGTTAATAGACTTACCAGCTAATAGAAACGCCTTAAAAGGACGTTGGGTTTATAAAATAAAAACTAATAAAGATAACAATATTACTAAATATAAGGCAAGATGGGTAGTAAAAGGTTTTAGTTAAACATATGGCATAGATTACAAAGAAACCTTTGTAAATACCTGCCGTCCAGAAGTATATAGGCTCTTATTAATACTAGCAGCCTATTATAACCTAGAGATAATATAATAGGACTTTAAAAATGTATTTACGCATGCCGATCTAGATAAAGAACTATACGTGGAACAACTACATAGTTTCAGTTTAGATAATAAGGTATATAAGCTAAATAAAGCTTTATACGGCTTAAAACAATCGCCTAGACAATAGTATAGGTATTTAGCCACCTATCTAGAAAAATACGGCTTTAAAAGCACTATAGCAGACCAGGCAGTATTTAAAAATACATTTTTAAACATTATAATAGTCTGTTACGTAGATAACTTACTAGTATTTAGTCCTAATATAAAGGATATAGAAGAATTGCAGGTAAAGTTAAGTAAAGACTTAGAGTTAACTAACTTAGGCCCAATTTCTTACTTCCTTGGCATAGAAATAACACGTAATAGAGAAGAAAGATTACTCTTACTAAGCCAGAAAAAGTATATAAAAAGTATATAAAAAGTATACTATCTAGATTTAACAAGGAGAAATTAAATCCTGTCTCTCTACTAGGAGATGTAGGCATTAAACTAGATAAAAATAGCGAATAAGCTACTAAAGAAGATATTAAGCTATACCAGCAGTAAGTTAGTAGTCTTATATATCTATCTACTAAACAAGGCCAGATATAGCGTATAGCGTAAATATATGCGCTCGCTTTATATCTAATCCTAGCCCTATACACTTTAAGGCGCTAGATAGAATCTGGAAGTACTTATTATATAAGCCTATACACGGAATAAGTGTTAAATTTTCACCTAATAATCCAGCACCGTATATATTAGGCTACTTGGATGCAGATCACGGGGGTGATATAATAGGTAGAAAATCTACTACAGAATACTACTTTTCCTATAGCAAAACGCCTATAAGTTGGAATAGTAGACTATAGAAGTCTGTAGCACTATCTAGTTGCAAATCTAAATATATAGCACTAAAAGAAACTATAAAACAGTATATATACTTAATAAGTATACTAAAACAACTTAATATTAGAAACACAGAGGACTTCTATTTATTTACAGATAGTTAATCAGCTATAGAATTAGCTAATAATCCTAAACACTACTCTAAAACAAAGTATATAGATATACAATATTACTTTATAAGAGAAAATATACAAAACAGGTTAATAAAACTAGCGTACCTTAATACTAAGGAATAAATAGCTGATATATTCACTAAACCGCTAGTAGGAACTAGTTTTACTAAAATAGTAGACTATATAAGACTAGATTCCAAATAGATACATCTATAGAAGATAATATATTGTGTAAATAGATATATACATAGAATTCTATCTATATATATATATATGTGCAAATACAATTCTATATATCTATCTATCTATCTATCTATCTATCTATCTGTCTAAATTAGATAAGATAAGGTAGAATAGAATATAACGCTTATAGGGGCGTATTAGAACAAGAATAAGCAATATATTTCTTTGTTTTATTATCTATATATACATAGATACAAATCTATTTATAGATCCTTTGTTCCTTTATTCTAATAAAGAACCCTTTATTATTCTTTATTCTAATAAAGAACCCTTTATTATTCTTTATTCTAATAAAGAACCCTTTATTATTCTTTATTCTAATAAAGAACTCTTTATCCTAATAAAGGACTCTTTGTCCTAATAAAGGACTCTTTGTCCTAATAAAGGACTCTTTGTCCTAATAAAGGACTCGTTATATATAAAGAGGCTTTGTCTTATTAAAGAGACGTTAACTCTTTATTACAACAAAGACTACGTTCTAATAAAGAACAACTAAGGTATATTAAGACCGCTGCCTTGCTCCTTAAACTTAATCTTAACCAGTTTATATACTGATTGGTAATATACAACACTTATTTAAACCTTTACTATTTCACCACGTGCCTTATATACCTTTACAAGTATTACTAGTAAGGTGTTAATCCTTCTTCTATTATAATAGCCGCGCTAGGTCTAAATTCGCCTTTAAGTTAATAGCTGTATAAATTAGGTAGAATGCGCATCCTGTCTAATTTATATAGCTATTACCTGCTATCTATTATAAGTCTACTAGGTATTTGCTAGGCTGTGTAAATAGGCCTAATAAAGGGACCTAGAGCTGACTGTTACTGCTATTATATACTACGCCCTATAGCTATTGCCAGCTGCTTTATATTACCTGTAATATTCTTATAATAATAGGCCGACCGTGTTTTGCAGACGTAGGCCTATTAACAACTCCACGCCGGGCAGCTGTTAGTTCCTTAGCTATCTACTAACTAAGCTTATTATCCTTCTACTGCAGTTTAATACTAGTACCCGCCTTCTAGTATTACTTCCTAGCTCTTTAAGTTCTGGAATACTGCTGTGCCGGTAATAGGGGATGTAATAGGGTTCTTCCTAGCCTTGCTGTAAGCATAATCTTAGAATAGAATAAGTATAGAGGTATCCTGTCGCCTTAATAGCCTACACTCCCACTGGCAAGTAAGGCTAGCTTGTGGTCCTGGATCGGTACCCCAGGTATTAAGACGTTGGATGGTTTTCATAACTATTTCCTCTGTTTGAGTTGTTGTCTGTTAATATTAAGCCTGACGTTGGCGGCGCTAAGACCTGTGAAAACTCTGCAATTCTGGCTGCGAGCAGCGGGCGATGTCTTCAAAGGCACCCGCCAGCAACGACAACGTCGTGCACCAGTAACCGACGTGATTCTCACTCTCGTGTAAGCCTTGCGGTTTGAACAAGACGGAAAGGAACGCCCGTACGACAATACGGGTCGAATCACGATTTTGGTGTTCCTTTTAACAGCTTATAAAAGGATGTAAAATAGCAATATTACCCGTGGCTTTCGCGTAGTGCAAGTTTCTCGTTCCTCGAAATTTGCCCCACTTCCACCTAACTAGTTAGGTGGCCGCCATCTCAGTGCACCGGCCACCTCAACGCGTCAGTTGTACATAGATTATTTGACACCGTGATTGCTCCATCAACATCATGGATTTGACCTACAAACAAGAAGAAATGCGCGTGCAGGATGCATTGGCAGCCTTCCACAACAATACATTCCCCTCCCTACGAAAAGCTGCTGCCCATTATGGCGCCAAATACTCACGCGTCACAAATCGTGCCCGAGGCCTTCCACCACGGAATGAACGTATTCCACACAACCTATTACTGTATCCTTATAAGGAAGAGGGCCTTCTGATCTGGCTAAGACAACGTGATCAATTAGGAACGCGTGCTACTACATCAGAATTGGAGTGGGAGTGCAATTCAATTTTGGCCGGCCGCCATACCGGCACAGGCGACCCCCCCCTCTGCGGCGAGCATTGGACACGCCGTTTCCTCCTGCGGCACCCGGAATTCAACCTGCGCACTGAGAATCCTAAGGACCTTGAAAGGCAGGCAGCGGAGGACCCAAAAGTGCTGTCGCGTTGGTATAAGGACTACAACAATACCGTGGGCCTGTATAGCATACAACCAAGAGACCAGTACAACTATGATAAGACAGGCGTGCGCCTAGGCATAGGCAAGAAGGAGAAGGTTATCACAACGTCCAAGAGCATTCAAATCACCGCTGCAAAGGATACCAACCGTGAATCAGCCACGGTTGGTGAATGTATCTCTGGCGATAGAGAGGTGCTGCCGCCGCTTATCCTTTTGGCAGGCAAAACCATCCAAAAGCGATGGCTCACCAACACCACGGAGGAACTACCAGGCAACTACTTAGTAGGCGTGAGCGACACTGCATACATTAACAATAAGCTGCTTTTCCGGTGGGCAAAGCACTTTGAATTGTTTTCCAGGAAGCGTTAGATTGGCAAAAATCGGCTCTTGATATTGGATGGCCATACAAGCCATTTCACAAGGCAATTTATTGAGTACTGCAATAAGCATTATATTATCCTTTTTGCTACAATTCCTCATACAACACACATCTGCCAGCCGCTTGATGTTGTGGTGTTTCAACCATACAAGCATTGGTATGGCAAGGAAGTGGCTCGAGCGTATCCCCTTTCCCGTTGACTTTGGTCCTACGTTATCGATAAGGATCCAGCCAATAGGAAGCTCTCGTTTGACCTGATTCTTGGCACCGTGATGGGAGCTGCACAGGACCTGAGGTTATTCAAATCCGTGATTTCTATGCATATATTGATATTGTAGCTAGTCCTTGGTGTTGAGCCTTGCCAGATGTTCACCCCAACATGTTCCTCTCGTGCAGAACGGAATTCTACAGACTGTACAGCCCCACGAGGTTCGTGGAGGCCTTGTGCGACGCTTCCAGCCGTCGGAGTCCTCCCGTTTCTTCATTGTAGAGTTCGCAAATAGATTTGCTAGTGGCTTACGAGCTGCCCGGTGTGGTGTTGTAGTTGGGCGCTTGGCCTCTATGCAAGCGCTGCAGAAGACCTGTTTCCGCCACACACGCTTGTGCTGATGCTCCTCCACCGGCCTCCATACAATATCCTTTGTGCTCTTCCTCCTCTGTGTTTTATTTGGCTCGCGAGGACGAACGGAGGACTCGAAGAGGGCATCTCGGAGGTCGCGACGGTACTGCTTATGGCTCTGCTCGCGCGAGCCTCTGTTGCCGGGCGGGGGCTTGTACGTAGAGAGGAGGAAGGTGTTGTCGACAGCTGTATCCAACAGGAAATGGAACAGTGGTTTCCAGGTCTTCCTGTGGACTCGAATTGTATTGTAATTGCTGCGGTACTGGTCTGCGTGGTCGACAGCGCTCATACAGTGGTTGTACTCGTCAATTAGGTCGGGAATAGGCAGCCAAGCTCTGGGCCCGTCGCCAAACATCCTAATAGTTTGTGTGTAGCCTGTAGCAGTTGTGGCAGGTCGCTTGCGGTGCTTCTCAACGCTGGATTGACCTGGCGATGTATGACGTCAGCGGCTCTGCGGCATGGTGTTGAGGCTCTGCGACCTTAATTAAAGCCGCCATACTCACTATCATGGACTGTAGACATAAATAGAACCACCGTGGCGTCTTTCCATGCAAACTGCATCACCTGGCGACTCTTAGAGAGGGCTCCGTAGAGCTTCCCCCATGTAATCTGGCCAGAATGATTTAATTTGAGGTCTATCAGCGATGCTGAGAAGGGCTCTGCAGGCACCTTCTTTTTGCGCGCTGTCCGTCCTTGTATGCAACCTTGTGTGTTCTCCTCGACAGCCTCCTCAATATCTATGGCCTCGTCGCCCAGCTCCTTACGCCGTGTTCGTGTCGTTCGCACAGTGCCAGCTGCCCCAATTCCTAGGCCTCGGAGCCTCTTAAAGAGCTTCACCGAGCTGAAGAGATTATCCAGCCAAACCACGTGCTTGTGAGGGGGGTAGAGGACCTCGTTGGTGACCGGATTGCGCTGTGTAAGGAGGTCGAGTACAACAGCTTAGGTCTTTGTGAAGCCCTCATCGAGGAAGGACTTATCCAGGTCCACCGGGCCTTTCTTATCGCCCTTAGCATGCCATAGCCAATCTAGAACATAGCCATGGTTAGCTAGAACCCAGATTTTGAAGCCCTCGGGCGTTGGCTTCGATGGTATGTTAACAATCTCGGGGGCCCTGCCTGTAAAGCGCTGAATAGTCTCATCAACAGCTAGGTGAGGCCCGGGGTTCTAGTGCATGCGGCAGCGTACGCGTAGGTGCTCTGAGAGCTCATCTACGCGGTCGAATGTTGTATGGAAGCCATCCTCAGGCATAGAGGAGCATCGAACATGGCGATCTAGCTGCTCAAAACGGTCCTTTGATATGTAGTCCGATACCTTGTGATCCGCTCCACGGGCCCGGGGGCCCCAGTAGTCCTCTACTGCAGATTCCACCGTAATTCCCATGTGAATAACCACGCCAAAATATGCATACAGCTCCTCTCTGTATGTAGGCTGCCACTTCCTAGGCCTCCTCTTTGGCATACGCTCGTCCGGTGTCGGGTGAGCCTCTGCATGCTGGTTTGTCCACTCCACCATCTTATCAACCATTTCGTCGGTAAAGAATAGCCTGAAAAGGCGTAGGGGGCCGTGCCTGTCAAGACTGGGAGGCAGATAGGCTTCTCCGGGGTCCCAATAGTTGACTATTGGAAGGGGAGTGAACGTAGGTAAGGGCCATGGCTCTGGGGGTGGATTTTTCGAATTTTTGGTGCGTAGATCACTCTTCTTAACAAAGTCGATGTCGTTGGATATTCTGGGCATTTTGTGGCATTGATTTGGTGCAAATAGCTAGCTAATTCGTTTGTTTACATGTTCCGTTGATGCCTCGCGAACATCTGGGCACGGTGTTGGTGCACGGTGCAGCTTGGCGTTGCACCCCAACGGTGTAAGGGATAGTGACGGAGTACGTGTTCCTAGCCAGCTAGCCTACG